AAAATCCAGGTCCCCATATCCAAGTGGCACAGCATGCGTGCAAACATGGTATTTTAACCATTCCCAAAAATAGCTCAAATTACCTCATTGAGGGCTTGTTTGAAAGAGGAACGATTTCCGCAGATTTCTGTCTTAGGGATTTTTTAAATATGGCCGCGATTATGAATTATCGGTATTTAAAGTTAAAACACTGCGTTTTTAGCTCTTCTTTTGACTGTAAGTCGAGTTTTAGTTAAAAAATAAAGAAATCCTAAGACAAAAAGTTTAAATTTACTGTAATATTTCTAAAAATCCAAAAATCTAACCTCATTCTTAATTTTCGGGGCCTCTTAAAATCAGTTGTTTGGTTCTCGTGACCCCTTTTTGAAATCCGAAATTGATCTCATTTGGAAGCAAATGTACACAAAGTGGAGCAAAGGCAGTGCAAGAGTAACATTTGAGGTAAACAAAAACACTTATTACATTTTATTTTGACGAGTATTTACTCTCCAATTACTTTTGTTTATTTTCAAATTTTACCCGTTACCTCCGGGCCGGCCCGGGACTCCCGCGCGGCCACGTTCGAACGCGTTCTGTAACCCGATACCTCCCTAGTAATGCGATTTTAGCCTAGCAACCGACCGCCGTGGTAGTTGATTCTAGATCAAAATCTAGTTACTAATGCTGAGCATCTTTGCTCTCTACGGGAATTCGTAAAACAAAATGGAAAAGAATTGATTGATACTACATGTATAAGACAGAACTTTCAACCACAGTGGGATCGAACCTAAAAAAGATGCCGCCGGTGTAGTTGATTCTAGATCAAAATCTAGTTGCTTATTGACCATTTTATTTGCTCTCTACTGGAATTTCTAAAGAGAAGGAAAAGAATTGATTGATAGACAGTTAACTTTCATCTCTGAATTAGCTTTGCTTTACGAACAGACCCTAGGATTTTGTATTATAGAACCACAGTGGGATCGAACCTTTAAAAAATGCCGCCAGTGTAGTTGATTCTAGATCAAAATCTACTTACTTGCTGGCCATCTTTGCTCTCTTCGGGAATTCGTTTAAAAAAAAAAGGAGAAGAATTTATTGGTAGACAGAACTTTCAACCACAGTGGGATCAAACCTAAAAGGATGCCGCCAGTGTAGTTCTGATAATTCTAGTAGTCAGATCAAAATCTAGTTACTTTTACTGGCCATCTTTGCTCTCTACGAGAATTTGTAAAAAAAAAGGAGGAAAGAATTTATTGGTAGACAGAACTTCCAACCACAGTGGGATTGAACCTAAAAAGATACCACCAGTGTAGCTGATTCTAAATCAAAATCTAGTTACTTTTACTGGCCATCTTTGCTCTCTACGGGAATTTGTTAAAGAAAAAAAGGAGAAGAATTTATTGGTAGACAGTACTTTCAACCACAGTGGATTCGAACCTAAAAAGATACCGCCTGTGTAGTTGATTCTAGATCAAAATCTAGTTACTTACTGGCCATCTTTGCTCTCTACGGGAATTCGTAAAAAGAAAAGGGAAAGAATTGATTGATTGGCGGAACTTTCATCTCTGAAGTAGCTTTCCCGCAGGCACGTTACAGACAGCGTATACGCACACCCCAGGATTACTAAATATAACATGCTACGGGTTAGAAGATAACCCCAGGAAAAAAAAGGAAAGAATTGATTGATTGGCAGAACTTTCATCTCTGAAGTAACTTTGCTGCAGGCACATTACAGACAGCGTATACTCATACACACCCAAGAATTATGTATTGCTACATATAATGTGTATACGCACACCCTAGGATTATGTAAATATAACGTGCTACGGGTTAGAAGATAACCCCAGGAAAAAAGGAAAAGAAAAAAAGGAAAGAATTGATTGATCGGCAGAACTTTCATCTCTGAAATAGTTTTGCTGCAGGCACGTTACACACAGCGTATACGCACACCCTAGGATTATGTAAATATAACATGTTACGGGTTAGAAGATAACCCCAGGAAAAAAAACGAAAAGAAAAAATGGAGAAGAATTGATTGATTGGCAGAACTTTCATCTCTGAAATAGTTTTCCCGCAGGCACATTACACACAGCGTATACTCATACACCAGGATTATGTATTACTAAATATAACGTGCTACGGGTTAGAAGATAACCCCAGGAAAAAAAAGGAAAAGAATTGATTGATTGGCAGAACTTTCATCTCTGAAATAGCTTTGCTGCAGGCACGTTACAGACAGCGTATACGCACACCCTAGGATTATGTAAATATAACGTGCTACGGGTTAGAAGATAACCCCAGGAAAAGAAAAAAAAGGAAAGAATTGATTGATTGGCAGAACTTTCATCTCTGAAGTACCTTTGCAGCAGGCACGTTACACACAGCGTATACTCATACACACCCAAGAATTATGTATTGCTACATATAACGCGCTATCGGTTAGAAGATAACCCCAGAAAAAAAAAGGAAAAGAAAAAAAAGGAAAGAATTGATTGATTGGCGGAACTTTCATCTCTGAAATAGCTTTCCCGCAGGCACATTACAGACAGCGTATACGCACACCCCAGGATTATGTAAATATAACGTGCTACGGGTTAGAAGATAACCCCAGGGAAAAAAGGAGAAGAAAAAAAAGGAAAGAATTGATTGATTGGTGGAACTTTCATCTCTGAAGTAGCTTAGCCGCAGGCACGTTACAGACAGCGTATACGCACACCCTAGGATTATGTAAATATAACATGCTACGGGTTAGAAGATAACCCCAGGCTTTAAAGCTAGAGCGTGTTCGCCAGGACGTGAGGTTTGGGAGGTTGTGTAAATCCGATAGGAAGCGTCGTACATATTTATGCAGGAGGCGATGGGTTATCTCCCGCCACAGACGGCCTCTAAGAATTAAAATGGAAATGGAGGTGTTGGGGTTTGCAGTGATCCCATTTCATCTTACTGAAAAGCTTTACATGCTTAGCAATAAGGAGGCAGTGTGTAAAATAAGTACAGGTACATAAATGTGTTGCAGGAATACTGGCTCTGTATAATTAGATCAAATTTTATGTATTCTTAGTCTTTTGAAGCTGTATTATGTAAAAGGATGATACGAAAAGTCAATTTTCAGCTCATTTTGCTGTGATCCCTTTTTCATCTTACTGAAAAGCTTTACACACTTAGCAATAAGCAGGCAATGTGTAAAATAAGTACAGGGTGTGTAATGTTAAATTTGTTGCAGGCATACTGGCTCTGTATAATTAGATCAAATCTTATGTATTTTAAGTCTTTTGAAGCTGCATTATGTAACGTTAGGATGATACGAAAAGTCAATTTTTCGACTCATTTTCTTAACAAAGTAACGTGAAGTTGAATCATCTCAAATAAGCATTGCAAATAACACTATAATTCAGGAATTGTAGGTGCCAAAAGATATTACTGCACGTTTAAGAAGCCCCACTGACGAGGAATCCTGAGCTCCCATTGGACTGATTTTCTTAGCAACAAAGAATTCAAACCCTGAACTCCTATTGGTAATCTCCAAGCAGATCATATGGTGGCAAGGCAGTGTCCGTTGGCCAGAGGAGTGTCCGTTGGCCAGAGGAGTGTCCATTAGCCAACATAGCTTTGGTGCATGGCCATACAGACACCTAGCTAATGGATACTGTCTTGCCACCAAAAGGGATCTACTTGGAGATTACTATTGGTACATCAGGACTCGAACTTCATTTTTTGGAATAGGTGCGCTGATGCACCTAACCTAAAACAATTAGGTGCATAGAATTTTTTTTTGGGTGCACCATGCTAAACAAAACCTAATTGCAGGTCTTACTGCTCCTCTTCTGAGCTTGAATCTAAAATGAGAGCTAACTTAAAAATATTAGTTAAAATATTACTACAACAAAGATTTTATTATTTTTCTAATACTTAGAGACCAAGGATATCCAGTATACTATCTATACATTTCTAATGTTAAAAATTCCTACAAAAATATACACCAGTGCACCCACAGAAACAAATTAGGTGCACAACTCCAATTTTGGGTGCACTTAGGTGCACATGCACCCAGTATTTCGAGCCCTGTACATGTAGTTCTAAGAATGGGAATGGTTTTTTCAAGCTAGATGTAGAGTGAAATGGCCACAAGCTCTCAGAGCAGGGCCCCCATGCCATCAGCCCTGACTGTGAGAGATTGTGTAGCACAGTGGTCTGAGTCTAGATAAGGTTGCTCGCATGCCTGATATGAAACTAGAATATTATGGGCTTGGAGAGATGACAGAAAGAAATCTCCGGCTCAGGACAAACCCTGGACCACGCCTGATGTAATCAGTAAGAGATCACGGAATGTTTCAGTCTGATGTTACAGGAGGTTTGCTGGATTATCTGGGATAACAGTTGATGTGCAGGATGGCTTACTGGCCACACCGATGGAATTTGATGGTTCTTGTTCTTGTCTAGTGTGAACGTCTGACCATTTCCAAAGTCATTGCTTGTGTAACTCTTTTTTGCGTATCTTACAGTCCACTCTTACACAGCCTGACAGTGTACACTTTCTGTACAAAACTAGCTATAGCCTGGGACTATTTTAGCTGAAGTACTTTTTTGTCCTCTCGACGATAGCTATTTGCAGAGAGGATGAAAGAGGGTCTTCTCCTCTCTATCCAGTTTATCGTCTGTTGTTCCCCATGTTCCGAGGGTTAGACGTGCTTGCACACTGATGCTGAGGCTTGATGGTAGCTCACCATTTGCCTCTGTCCTGTGGTTCTAATGGGCACAGCAAATGTCAATACTTGGCAGCTAATATAAGTTTGGACACCATGCTATACTGGTTTATTCAAAACAAAGACTGTCTCAGACCAAGGACATTTCTTGTCCTTGCTCAGACAAAAACCTGAGAAAGCTTAGACTACTGTGCAGTAAGACAAAAATCCAGAGAGTTGTTTGTTGTTTTGCAATTAATTACTTACTACATTTTTTGCTAACAACCAACAAAAATGTCGCACTAAAAATGACAATGATCTTCTTTGTCTTCCTCCCAGAAGAAACGTCCGACGCCAAAGTCAGTTCCGACAGTTCCCAGGGAGCTTCTTCGTCACAAGCAGACACCGCGGGGGGCGGCGGATCCTAGCACAGCTCACCCCACCTCCGGCAGACCTCACCCCCTCGCTATGCTGGCTACATTTGTACTTTTGTATGGAGATAGAGATGTAGTAGAGACTTTAGGAGAGAGATAGCCCATAGGTATGGATGATATTGTCTGGGGTTTGTTTGTATTGAAAGCAAAATACATCGGAAGTAACGGGATACTAGCCTCTAACAGGGTTTGGAAGTGGCTGAAAAAAGTCCAAACTTGCCAAATAGACAGATTTTTGGTCCAATAAGGAATACAGTGTCACAAATGTACTCTAGGAGTCAGTAGACCGACTCCCCTGGCATGTTATCTGAGTGTGTATTTGGCAAATTTCAACTCTTTCTAGCTGCTTCCAAATCCTGGTAGAGGCTAGCAGAATTTGTGCAAAACACACAATATTTGTGTTTAATATCATGTTGGTAAGAGGTTGAGCTAGTCTAAGGGCACATGTACACCAGTTTTCGTGCTTGGTTTGGGACATGTTTGGTAGAAAAAAGTCTATTTTCAAAAATTCTCTCCCTTGCTTTGTTGACTTAATGTCACCCTAAAAAGATGATCATGTAAGAAGTCAACGTTTTGTCATGTTTGTTCCAAATCAAACGATATATGTAGAAGACGGTAAAATAAGTATAACTTTTGGTAAAAATGTTGAACCCACCTCTTCACTGTTTATGTACAATGTAAATATTACATACATGTAGTTTCATGTAATGGTTTAACTTGTAATGTTTGTTACTGGTAGATGTAAAAAGAAGAAAGAAATATTAGAGTGGTTAAAACTATTGTGTAAGAAAAATATTTTCCATAAGCTGCACTTCAATGAAAAGTGCTCAGGGCTTTTGCAACAATTAATTGCTTCTGGAGGATACAAAAATTTAATCTTTCATTTCAGTCGTTTGGCTTATAGCTATGAAACATTAGTCCTTATAGATATGGCAAGGTTTTGTTGAAAAATGCTTGGTGAAGAATTATAAAATTTGATTTTTTTTTTCTGTGCAAAACATTGACGGGATGCATTTGAGACATTTTAAACTTTGTAAAACAATGATACAAAGTGTCTTAATGTGATACAGAATCATGTAAAACAGTGTGTCCCTCGGAGCTATTGATAGTACCATTTTTAAAGTACGTCATTATACCATTTCATTGGTAGTTGCAGAATGGATTATGATGGGTTTCAAAACAGTAGCGAAGTTACGAACAAAATTGTTGTCGTTTGTAAAATAGAATTGAGGGCGTCGCAGTTGAAGAATATTTTGTAACACTTTAAAGTCTTTGAAACATGGCGTTTGAGAAAATGTACGATATTCTACTTAAATCTTGCCAGTGATACTTAGTGAGAAACGCACATTCCAAGCTACTGTAGGCTTAAAAGTCATGGTACAAAAGTGCCCTCCATCAGATCATGAAAAAACTGCAGGTTTGTGAATTGACGAGTGTGTAATGTTGCATATAAAGATTGTAGACAGCTTTTCTTGCTAAAAAAGTTTTTTGGGCAATTTTTTTGTTAAATACTCTATATAGATGTGGAAAAAAGTTTGTTGCCAATTGCTGAAATAGTTATTTAGCTTTTGTGTGAAAAATGTATAACCCTTCAGTAAAGATACATGTATCTTATTCAACTTTAACACCTAAAACCAGAGTTTTGCTAGACTGTCGTTTAAGAGCACTTAAATATATTAAGTATACTAAATGAGGAAAGCTGTATACTTAGTTTCACATTTACATACTTACATGTAGTTATGTTAATGCTGTATTAAAAGAAGTGTTGCATTTTTTTAACCCTTGTTTGTACATGTACATGTATGGGAAGGTCTTGCTCATAGTTCCCTATAATCTCCTTGGTTTAAGGCCCCATTCCCACTAGGGTAAAACTGTCCAGATTGAACCGAATTTATTCGCTTCGATCCAGCCCAAAGCCGGATCAAAGCAAATGAATTAGGATTGATCCGGACAATTTTATCCTGGTGGGAACAGGGCCTAAGAGGACAAAATTGTAGTCAGTTTCTAGTTCTCCCAGCCCTTTGTTTCAATTTTGCCCTCTTAGTACATTATAACTTATAACTAACAAAGTGTGTATGTAACATTTCGGATCCCAGTCACTCTGTCTCCATTCATACATGTATGATATTGAGATTGACACTGAAAAATTCATAAATTAATTTCCTTCGTATATTGCAGTCGGTGTGTTAATATTCAGTTTGTTGTCATGAAGAAAAGACCAGGTTCAAACTGAAGCTATCCTTGTCCTTGGTGCTGAAAGCCATCCCTACACAATGCCCCCCTCCCCTGTTCGTGATAATATTACGCCGTTGCCGAGCATTTTCACCTCCCCTAACCTCATAAATCGGCTCCTTTTCTTTGTAGAGGCAGTTCTTACAACTCTGTAGCTTATCTGGGGGAACATAATTGCCCACAATAGTCCCGTTTGTCCGAAAATCCTTCGTAACTTCAGTTTTTTTACATGAAAAGTTAAGCGGCTTAGTTTCGAGTTGGTTGCTCATATTTGGTCGTAAAGTAGCACGTCATCAACTAGGAAATGTATTAGCCAATCAGGCTCAATGACGTAAAAACGTTGAACGTGATGATAGCCAATCAGCATCAAGGATACATAGGCTAATGACCCTCTGCGCCATGTATCAAAAGCGACTTCTAGCAGTCGGTGAAATTATTGCATGTGAAAATCCCCTCAAGTACCTGCAATACTTCCATGAACTGCTAGAGGCCCTCATTGACACGTGTGATTAATTGGCATTATGGCGCCTGTGGATGCATCCAATTAACTAAATCGTGAGGGAGTAAACTTTGTAAAGAAGGGTACACGTTCGCCAGCGACGGAAAGATTCTGCTGGACACTTCAGGTATGAATTATTACACTTCTAGAAAGGCTTGGCTGGAAAAACTGGAGCGAAAAATTGATGTTAAAGCGTTTTATTGACATGATGTCTGTTTCATTTTTTCGTTTATAATACTGAACATATATTCCTTGATTTTGTTCTAACTTCTTACTATCAGTTTTAAGCGTCCAAAAATCACCTGGACGTGAACAATGCACCATATAGAAGATATTGCAATAACTAGTTCTGTAATTGCTTGTGCTATTTTTACTTTAAACGTTAAAGTTTACACCCATTCCTGCCTATATTTAACCCAGCATATCTGCTTGGTTCGCCTGGAGGATTACGTAGCTACCTCGCATGACGTAATGCGGCACCAGGACGAAATCCGCTGATTTGATTGGTCCTTCTTTTAATTGAATTAATGCTCAGCACATGTGCGTGAAACACGCCGTTCCAAGATGGCGAGCGTGCATGGAAGGAAAGAACGAGCGGGTAAAAATTCCGCCCAGGAAGACGCGCCACGTCCGCTTTGGTGGTAAGTTGTACTTTAAAGTGTCGTAGATACTCCCCGGACTATTATAGGTAAATGTCCTTTAGGTTAAATGAAGCAAAACGACAGAATTTCGGAAATAAGTTGCGGCAACTGTCCCCACGAGTTAACGCTGCACTATGTTAAGTAACCGATGGGGGCGCATTTGCGTGGTCCAGTAATAATTAAGGAAGATAAAAAGGCACTTTCATTTATTCAAATGTTTACGCATTTTACACCGTACCCACACCAGTTCTTTGAGCAATTACTAAAATAGAAGAACTACACCAATGGTGCATTTTATACATAAACCGCTAAGGGGCGCTTTTAAGTGACCCCTGACCTGAACAGCTTTGCTTGAAACTTGGTATGTTGTCGTTGTCGTCCTGTGTGTTTTGGTCAAATTCTATACGTTTCAATGTAAAACAAAAGTGTTACGAGGCCAAAAGAAGGTAGAAGGGACACGATAGTACCGTTTGTGAAGAGGATGACATGGACAAGGTGATAGATTTGGAAGGAAAGGAGACTGAGACGACCGGTAAGTTCGAGTGGGGAGGGGGGCGGTAACAGAGTTGTTTAAGTATCAAATACCGTATCCAGGGTAATGATATAACAAGTTACGTCACATAGTGCCCAGGAAGGTAAATTTAAAGGTAGAAAAGAAAATTCACCAAGAATCCACCATAAGGTTGACTGTAAGAGAAGCGGTGTTTTGGTCTAGAACAGTTCAGGACTTTTCTGTGCATGTTAACCAGTTGTTGAGCGGTAAAAAGAATACTCTCGAACTTGACTTTGGCGAAATCTGAGATGAAAGTGTTTATAAAATATATCTGTCGTGTAAACCTTAGACCGGGCTCGAAATTCATTTTTAAGAATAGGTGCACAAGCTTAAAGCTTGATCTGCTTGTCAATTTTAATAAACTGACATTTGAAATGCATTTCCATTTGTGTTGTCATTGGCTCTGATGTTTTTGTATCTACTAGTAGTTGTAATTTGATGAATGTCAATATGAGATACATATTATGTTGTTATTTGGATTGTGATTGTTATTTGGTTATGATATTCTACATGTCTGTTCACTGTTGGCTGTTCTCTTCTTTTGCAGACATTAACAATGTTCTATGTGTTCTTCTCCCAACCAATAGATTTTAGAACAAATGTATTGTGATATCTTATGTAACGTTACATGTGATCACGCACGGTGATATCATGTGTGAGAAGTATTTTCTTGTGATCGTTGTTTGGACTCTTCATCAGAATATTCTATGTTCTCTTTTGCCTGTGCTCTTCATTTGCCTCACTAGCAATGTTTCTTGTGCTCTTCCCCCAATCAAAGCAGGTTTTGTAACAAATGTTGTGATTATTATGATGTCATGCATATGTGAATAATGTGAACATTACAGCTGTATACTTTGTGTGTGTAAATTTGGCTTGACATTTTTCTGAATGTTTCTTTCTTTTCCACCCTAGCTTATGGGAAGCTGAGACTGTACCTGACCATGTTCCTGTGTGTGCTGTGGGACCTGTCTGTGTTCCTGTCCTTATTCCTGGAGAATCTGCTATCCTGTGTGAGGATTTGCCTGTGTGTGTTCCTGAGGGACCTGTCACCTATCTACGAAACGAGAGCATTGTGTCAATACAGTGACTTTTGTTTCTCTGTCTTCAAGATGCGGACCTGTAGACTGGACTGCAGCAGGAGGAAGAACCAGACTTTTGTAGGCAGGGCTGCGTGAAAGAAGATGGGGAGGAGTGAGTATGGTTTCTTTATTAACACTCCACTTGCCTTCAGGTGCACACACTCGCACTCACATTTCTCTCAGTCACTCTACTCCGAGGGTCTGGATGCCTTTTTCGTGAGAAGGTGTTCACCGTTAAGTATTGTCGCAAAAATGTATTTGGCCATTTCAGTTCTACATTATTTGTTATCCTGAATTCATTCTGATTAGCGTAACTTTGGACCCTGACACTTTAAATTTCCCTGCCAAAAAAAAGTTGGGACCAGGAAATTCACTACGTTAAGCGTCACGGAAAAATTGTTCGTTTCGTGTAGTTGAACGTCAAATTGCCCCGAAATTGTTGCTTTGTGATTTTTCTGAATGTGTATTTCTTTTACACCCTAGGTTTGGGAAGCTGATACTGTATACCTGACCATGTGGGACCTGTCCATGCTCCTGTCTGTGCTCCTGTGTGAGCTGTGGGACCTGTCAGCTATCCTGTGTTCCTGTCCACATTCCTGGAGATCCTATGCTAGGAAGTGCATGCTCTATAAATATTGTTGATGCATGTAAATTTGGCATGTGATTTTTCTGAATGTGTATTTCTTTTACACCCTAGGTTTGGGAGGCTGATACTGTATACCTGACCATGTGGGACCTGTCCATGCTCCTGTCTGTGCTCCTGTCTGTGCTGTGGGACCTGTCAGCTATCCTGTGTTCCTGTCCACATTCCTGGAGATCCTATGTTAGGAAGTGCATGCTCTATGAATATTGTTGATGCATGTAAACTTGGCCTGTGATTT